GTTTAAGGTTGTTTTAAGGACATTATCGGACATGCACTATGGAAGCCATTCTGAAGCAGCCAGGGGGGGATTCTGTATGAGCCAAAAAGCAGAGACAGGACCAATTGTCAAAATTTTGGTGTCGATCATTTGATTTCATCCTGGACACAACAGAAAATGGGCTAAAAGTGTTAAAAACCGGAATTATCCTTTAACATTCAATCAGTTCCAAACATTTTGCAACAGTAGTATAGCCTCAAAAGCCTTGGTTAGAGATGACTTAGTTATAAACTGATTAGTGGGCAAAATGAAGGGCAACAAAAAAAACTTTAAATTATGTTTTGTTTTCAATTTCAGTCAATTTAAAATGTAACACAATCACAAAAATTGTTTTTAAAATTATCAATTTATCCCTTTTGTGTTATGTTAATCAAACCATGTTATTCTGTTTGCATTATCTATATTTATGTGTAACTCTTAGTGTAGTTGATCTCTGCTGGCCTGGATGCCCAAAGCAGCTGCTTTAGTGGCCTTATGCTACAGGTCAATAAAATGTAAAATGTTTGACACTCAAACATGCAGACTGGCTTTCTTTTAAAGGTAAAGTGTAACTAACAACAAAACTTATTAATATAGATTTAGATGAGGAGAAAGATTGAACTGGTCTGATTGAATTATGTCCCATTAGTTGTGAATAATTATCTCTGGTTCCTTGTGGGTGAAATGAAATCCTAAACATTGCTTTTAACACTTGTTACTTAATGTTTTCCAAATATATCTTAATACTGTGGACAGAAATTTCTTAACTGTCCAATTTAATTACAAAGAGAAAGAAAAGCTTTTACCTTCACAGTATTTGTGTTTTACAGAGATACATAAAATACTACGACTAGAGATGATATATGAGATAATGCAAGATATTTTTTTACTTATGGATTCAAAACTTCCTTTACCATGAAAAAACACCTGCTGGATACTGAAAAGAATTTGGGTTTTATAAATCTTAGAAAAATAATCTTAATCATTTAAAATAAAAATAGGCAGGTTGGTCCTTAAAGCAAATCAGAGATTGGAATTAGAAGGTAAAATGTCTTTTTTTATTAATTGAAAATAAAAATAAAAAATAAATAATAAAATAAAAAAAGAAGGAAAAATGTCTTACATCATAAAACTTTCTCTGTTGAATGTTTAACTGTATGAAGCTTTCAAAATGTTGCATGGAAATAGACTAAAGCAATATTGATTGCAGATATGCAATTAACACACACTAATAATGCTGTGCCTGTAAAAATTTAATAAATAAATTGTCATAAATAAAGTGATGAAAATAGTGAAAGAAAGAAAAACAGATGTATTATTGTAATGATCTGTGTTTTTTTTTATAAGTAGCTATACTTAGTATAGCTACTTATAAAAAAGTGTAAGAGTATACTTACATGGATACGTTTAAATATATTTCAGCAGGAAACAAACAGTGTGGATCAGTCCTGTCCTCCTGTTTACATTTTCTCCTTTTAATATTCTCAGCATGTTCTTAGCTGAGGACAGGTCAGGACTCCAGGCAGACCCCGTCAATGCACGTTGCCTCTGCAATCATGCATTCGTAATGTGTGCAGAATGTGGCTTTGCACTGTGTTGTTGACAAGGTTAGAGGAGATGCAGACAAAGCATCCTTTCTTTAACTTTTAATTGGAACCTGTGAATGTAGTTCAGTCTTGCTGGGCTTGACAAAGGATTCCCAAAGTCCCATAATCCCATTCCTCTAGCACACTCGGTTAAATCAGGTGTTTGGTAAAAGGCTGCTGATGCATCAAAGCACTTCAGACAGCTTTTGATCAAGTTTTTATTAGTTTTTGCAGAAATAAGGAATTATCTGCTATAATTGTATTTATAGTAGGAGGGACCACTGTTTTTTTTTTTTCTATTTACTATTCATTACTTTTTTTCCCTATTCACTACTTGTGCCCTGTACAATACCTACATTTTGTGGTTTCTAATTTTTGGAGACTCTGACAAAGATCGTTTAATACCGCTAATCGATTCGTTGCAGGAAACTTTTGGTTTGTGAAGCAGCAATTAAAAGTAATGCTCTTGCTGTATATATGTAGTCCTCTGTAAGGACAATATAATAAATGTATTAATTTAGTAAGATGCTTTTCAAAAATCTTTACGTTTTAATTTAAATCAGGAGTCACAATCAAATTTTACACGAATCCAGTTTTCTCAAATTAAAAGATGATGGATGGATGGATGGATGGATGGATGGATGGATGGATGGATGGATGGATGGATGGATGGATGGATGGATGGATGGATGGATGGATGCTGTATTAAAGGGGTCATAGAATGATTATATAGGGTATTTGGTGCTGGTCCTTAATGTCTCTGAATAGGGTGTGTAACATTGGTTGAGCTGAAAATGGCATATTTGCTGCTCCCTGAGCCCTAATGCAAGCCTGGTTAAGAGACCAAGGATGAAATAGCAGGTTTTCTTCCTTTTATGGTTTTCTAATGAATATTTAGATAAGCTGTGCGCTGATTGGTTGGTTTACAATGAGCGTAACTGCTGAGCAAAGATGCATAGCAACAAGCACTCACTCACTGAAACATTAAATTGTTGATATGGTAGCATTGCTATCAACAGCTTAGCACGAAATACTACTGTACTTACAGCTTGCAGTTGTGATGGCCATTCGGTCGGAACAGCCTCTTGTTTCAGTAAAAGAAGTTTAGCAAATCCTGCTGTGAACTGTCCAAGATTTTGAAAGCTGTCTTCGGTAAAGTGCTAAGAGCAAATGAACAGCTGAGCATCAAACTTTGCAGGGATCTTCAGATAGACAACAATAATCCATGCCTGTTGAGTCTTAGGATCCTTGGGAAGACTGTGAAAATTTTCCCCTTTCTCTGTGCAGCCTGGAACACTGCATTTACGATAGTGAACCAGTGGGCTGGTCTGTATGTTAATTTCGGGGCGTGACAGAAGTACAGGCCAGAACCAAATAAGGCACCATCCCCGAGTTTACGTCAATTCGGTGCTTTGTTTGGATTCGCCCGTTTTATAGTGGAAGTTTAGAATTGTAAAATTTGCATAGAAAGGAGGTTTCGATGGAGTTTGAACTTCTCTGAACGTCCATTTCACCCACTGAACAATCATTATTCATCCATGACAATGTAAACTCGGATTTGCATTCTATGACCCCTTTAATCCCATATAAAATAGGATGAAAAAAAACAAAATTAGATTAAGAATAATAATAGCACTAAAAAAAACAGTCCTTCAAGGGGCATTAAACTGTCTAATGACTGCTGGGACAAAAGTTTGTTCTGTATCTCTCCATTCTGCTTCTCACAGAGATAAATCTTAAAATGTTCTTTATTTCAGTTATTGTACGTTCAATACTTTTGACTGAGAGGGGTACTCATGGTAAAACAAAATGCCCAAAGGGGTACACTCTCATAGAGGATGTCTTGGGGGTTTGTAGAGTACAAACACTGGTTTGCCCACATATTATATATGATGGTAATATAACAAAAATAATACATGGAGCTGTATTTTTCTTCGTCATATTGTCCAATTTAGGTCTAATCATGAATTGTCTTCTTAAAAAAAAAAACAAAAAAAAAACCTTAGTGTGCAAATGGCTCATTGTAGCAGTCTGGCAAATTAAAAAGACTGAAATAAGCCCAAAGAGTGAATATATTATCATCAAGCTAAACTTTGTCACTGCTGAAACTTGCCGATAAAAAAATTTAAGCTCCTGGCAATGAAAGCATAAAATTTTTCAGGATCTGAACCAACATCCCGTTATGGAAAGGAGCTAAGCTTTTTGGGAGAAAATTACCTTTTAGTTTCTAATAGTAAAACATAAAATTCAGACAATTACTGCTCAGACATTAAGTATATAAAAAAGTATTTTAGAGTCAATCATAATACACCATTTTACAGTCTCTGATTGAATAGATCAATTTGAATTGGTCCTGAAAGTAGTGCTGTGTTGCTGGTTTATGGGAGTTTGCAGCATCAGTAATGGACCTCAAGTTTCTCAGCATTAACCAATATCCCAGACTATTTGAAAGGTGTAAAGGATAAAAAATAAATACTATAAAATACTAGATTTGTATTTTTTTTCTTTTAGAAATGTTGTGTCTTATATGTTCAGCTCTGATTTTAATTTAAGCCATTTTTAGTAAGAGTTATGATGCTGTACAAATATTATACCCTCTAAACTTTTATCATCTAGGAAAATATTTAGAGTAAATAAATAAGAAATTATAAATAAGTTTCATTCATGCTGTAACCCCCATTCTTTTCATTTACACCCATGCCCACACCAAGGAAATAATATGGGTGTTTTGTAATTATTCATTCTGGTTTATCCGGTGGGTCCCCAACCCAGTGCAAGGGCTCTGATTTTGACCAAAATTGATCATATATATATATAATATCCAATTGTTATTGCACACAGCGTTGTTTTAGAATTTCACTATTGCATAAATGAATATCACAATGGCTTTAAATTTGCGATATATATTTTGCAGCCAAACCTTTTGTTCCCTATTTCTTTTTTAAATCTGACCAGAATATGTTGATGCCAATTATTGTATTAAGACAGAAATATAAAGTAACTCAGAGGGTGTGAAGAGTTTTGCAAAGCATTCATTGCATTAACCTTTTATATTTATTGTCACAATGACAGGTGAGGAGACAATTTCAAGGGAACAGATTAGACCCTCAAATTGGCCACCAAAATTCTCTTGCTGCGCTTCTAAGAAAGACCCCAAGATCCTCTGAAGCCGGGGGTGACAAAAAACAACAAGATGGTGGTAAAACGATGGGCTCAGGAACAGCTGGCAGGTTAAAGGCTGGAATGGGAACAACTGCGCTGCTGTCAAACATGGGCACATCAGCTCAGCCTCCAGCCTTCCACCGACCCTGGAACAAAGCCAGAGTTGGACCAATGGAAGATGGAAGAAAGGCAGAAGTCATCCATCTGGGGAATGGGAGGGCAGTGCAGTTGGAAAATAAAAGAGGAAGAAATGATGAGGCAAAAGAAAGCCGTGGAGAAAAAGAGCATAGAGCAGAATTGGGAATTTTAGGAAGAGAAAACAGAAACGGCATAGCTAAGAATTTGATGCGAAATGCAGCAGTGCAAGGAGGAGGCAACAGGGCAGAGCACAGAGGAAGGCTCCCCGGATGGGTGTCCTCTGGATGGTCCGTCAGCCTGGATGGAGACTTGGTCATCGATAGGAGCTACTTCCAGACGTCCACTGAAGCAAGAACGCCTGCTCCAGCAAAACAAAAGCCGAACGAGGCCCTCAGTCTTATCTCCTTGGCCAGAAGGCTCCAAGGGCCCACCAGGGTGGATGATAAACACTGGAGTGACAGGAGAGGCAGCAGCAGGAAGATGTATGGCTCCATAGGAGATATGAGCGTTTCAGCAGCAGTGTCTACCAGAGGAAGAATGGATAGGAGGTGGGAGGGGGGAGACGAGAGCAGGGACAGCATGACGGAGCAAAGTGACTCGGAAACAGGTAGCAGCAGCAGAGACTCTCCATCAGAGTTCAGTCTATCTGAAAGGAGCAGCCAGACCTCATCAGCAGCAGCAGAAACAGAAATCAATGAGTCAGACTCGGAGACGGAGAGAGGCGACGAAAGTCAGAAAGAGGAGAAAGTTGATTCCAATTCTAATGAGGAGTCAGGGTCAGAGAGTGAATATGAGAGAGCAGAACCGAGCAGAAAAAGGTCAAAAGGTCATAGATATGTTTCAAAAAGGAGCAAAAACTTAAGCGGGAGCACTGACCCTTTAAACTCCAGCTATCCAAGTTTTACTGCTCAGGGGCTCCAAACATCAAGGAACACACATTCCTGGAAAACATCTAGGCAAGACAGCGAAGAGCTTAGTGAGGAAGAGGAGGAAGAGGAGGGTAGTTTTAGAGTAAAAAAGTCCTCAGTCAGCAGGCGAGGTTCAGGCCACAACAAAATAATCATCAGTTCAGGTGTGATGGGTGCCTCAGACGATTTGTCCACCATCATGGAGGATACAGAGGAGGAGGAGAAAAGCAGAAGCCAAAGCAGGGGACGACGACGGGAAGAGGAAGTTACGGGAAATGAATCAGCTGTTTAAAATGCCAAACAGATGCCCCCCCCATCTTGAGAAGGAAAGGTTTGCCACCAAGTAAGGAGGCGGTGAGAAGGGCTGCTTTGGGTGTGCAGTGATTATTATCTGAGTGGAAGCTGTTGCTGTAACCTGTCCTCCATGTTTGCTGTGATTTATGCTCACATGAGCTTTGATTTCTGCTGCACTGCAGAAAATCTCCTATCTGCTATTCTTCATCTTTTATTTCCTGATAACTTCAATCTCCTTTCTCCAATCAGTCCTTTTTTTTCCTCCATGTTTTGGGTTAACATTGGTATTTGACAACCTGGCTTTCTGTTCCAAACGTTCTGCTGCTATCTGAACAAGCCTCGGCAGCAGCTGCCACAGCTCAAACATTGTTATTCACTGATCTCTCTTTGTAGCAGAGTTTTTCTTATTCGTCATCTCTTCTTCTGCGTGCGTCACTCTCCCGGGATCGGTCCGCTTTTCCTACATCTGTTATCTGCAGGGTGGAAAGATGCTGCCGCTGTAGAGAGAAACAGAACATATTCCTTCTCACATGCTATCAAGGTTAAGTGGAGAAACTGTGAGGGGTTACACTGTGTGAAAGCAGATTAGATTTATTTTTTCACAAGTCTTTTCCATCCTGGAAAATATGTGTGCAGAGAGCAGAATTAGTGGGTCTACATTTTATATGAAGCATCTTCAAAAGGATCAACTCTGTACTTTATTAACATAACAACATAAGCATCAGTTAATGATAGGCTCCTTTAAAACGCTGGTGATGAAGATGAAGTTAACACTATTTGCTTGAACTCACTTTGCAAAGACAGACGGTTCTGTTCTTGGAAAAATTTAAATTATGCAAATCTTTAAAAACTAACGAATATTCAATCTTTCGTAAAGGTTTCATGATCTCTTAAAATGTTAAATGTTTATATTCCTCATCTAATAAAATGTCTACTGCTTTGTTTTAGATGCCAAATATACCAAAACAAATGACTAATTTAGGGGAAAATGTTAACAACTAAAAATCCTTCTCGATCTTGTGCATTTAAAAAACAAAAAATCTATATAATAATTAACTCTCCTTTGGGTAATTCCTAATTTTGTCTGTTATGTGCTTCAAGGCTTCACCAGAGAAAGTTGCTTATAATTTGTAGACAGAGTTTTAATTGAAATCTAAAAGCGAGACAGAGGTGAGCTTTTACCACATAGTGTAACAAATCTTTATGTTGTAAAAATGTGTCTAATTTCCTGGACTAAACACCACTGTACAAAGAAACCAAAAACACGTATGCTGCTATCTTTATTTGTTTAAAATTCTAAAGGAATTTCCCTTCTTGTTGATTTGATGTTTTTTCCAAAATACTTCATAACTCCACTTAATTCCTGCTTTATTTCCTTGCTGCCATTTTGTTCCATACCTGACAAAGCAGCTTTTACGCCATTTTAATTTTCTGACATCTCCTCAGTTAGGCATTTTAATGAAACAATGTGAATCAGGGGTATATTAAATACAGTAGGAAAGTTTGTGCTCTGGCATGCTGCTCATATTCTCCAACAGATTAATCTTGCTTAAGAAATGTGAGTTTGTTTCCCTTCAGTATGTTTTGTTTCTTTGAAATATTTTTATAGTTATTATAGGCTGTAATTTTTCCTTTGGCCAAAGAAAGAAAAAAGAACTGATCAGCAATCAAGAGATAATGTCAAAAAATTTAAATAAAATAGAATATTGTTAATTATGTTTTTTGTTTTACCAAATTACCAAGAAACAAACCTATATATATATATATATATATATATATATATATATATATATATATATATATTTTTTTTATTAACAAGAAAAAACAAACAATAACATTTATTTATATTTTTCTCCCTCTCTCTCTGTTGTTTCAACTCTATTTTAATAGTTCTCTGTGTTTTCCCGTAGCCTGGCGGTAAAAAGCGACGGATCAAGTTGGTGGTTGACCGAGAGTACGAGACCAGCTCCACCGGTGAGGAGAGCATCCCAGAGACCCAACGTAGCCGTTTATCCTCCACACACAACAGCCACATCAACCTTAATGGAGGAATCTATGTGGCCCAGAACGGCTCCATCGTACGCACCAGACGATCTGCCAACGCATCAGGTCCTTCACAGAGCACCAGCTCCACAAAGAACAACCTAAAACCAAACTCTCCCATCTTCAGCTCACGGCTAGCTAAGCACTTTAAAAAACTGGATAAAATGGCTGCTACTTTGGAGGAGAGGGTCCCCCTGAACACCACCAGGGCCCCAGCAGGAAGTGGACGCCACACACTGAGCACTTTCCAGAGCTGCAGAAGGGCTGCGTCAGCAACGGCCCCCTCCTCTCTCTCTAACACTGACAACATGCTGAATGTGTTAAACACGCGACAATCCAGCGTATCTTTAGGGTCAACCAGCACCAACAACACAGGCCCTGAAAGCATGGTGTCTAAACCTGACGTGCTCCCAGCTGCACTAGGCATCACAGAACAGGAGGAGAATGCAGCAGACAGACACAGACCAACAGGGGGCGAGCTGGAATCAAAGGTGGATGGAAACAGCAACGTGGAGTCTGCTGTGAGAGAACCTCTGGATTGCCCGAGTGACAGAACACAATCTGATGAGGAAGAGTTGTGGATGGGCCCCTGGAACAGCCTTCACATACCCATGACCAAACTCTGAGTCCAACGCCACTGTGCTCGTTCATTATTGCCAAGACCATTCAATGTTTTCAATATTATTTCTTTTAAAACTCTGTGAAGCTAGTGGGGAAGCCCCAGTGCTGCAAATATATATATTAGTTGATTTATACTGGCAACAATTGACTTTGCATACTCTGGCACTGGTATTACATCATTTATTTGTATTGTATCTTGAGTTCAATGGGAGCTGCTGGAAAAAAACAGCAAGTACTGTGAAATTTAATGGGGCATTTTCTGCAATGTCTGTTTCAACCTCTGCATCCACTCATTTCAGCCTCTCAGAACTGCAGCGCCCTCAGAAAGTGGACCTACAGTGATTATATCCAACAACAGTGAGCATTTAACAGTGAGGGGACAAAAACTTGATTCTTCTTATTGGCCCTTTAAGCGGCTGGTGTCTGTAAGGAACTATGCTCCTTTCATTCAGGTTTACGGCCAACGGTGCAACTCATCTTTAATTAGCCTGATGCATTTCATTGACACATGCAGTCTTGTATTGTTCACACTTGCCTTTTTATTCTTGTCAAGCTGCTTGGCAAACTTATTCCAAATAAAGTTTTGATCTGTTGAAAAATGAATTTGTGGCTGCTGCTACCTGAGTGTGTTTTCTTTAGAGCCGGGAAGACGAGATATTTATATGATGTAATACAAACTCTCCTGCTGCACCTTGTCTAGAAAAAAGCATTCCTTTTAAACAGTTTAGAAATAAAATCACTAATGGTTGCTTACAGCTAAACTGCTTTAAAGATATAGAAAGATTGATGTTAAACTTCCATGTGGATGGATGGATATGAATTGATCAAAAACCATAAATTTATTGTAATTAATAAGATCAATGAGATCCTAATCGTAAAACATTACGCAGAGGCTTGCAGTTAATCTACTAAACCTTCAATGCCAAAAAAAAAAGCAAACAAGAATTTAATAAACTATACTGTAGCTTTGATATCAACTAATTATACATATACATATGTATGTATATATATATATACATATATATATATAAAAACAGTTGACTGTTTTTAGTTAGACTTGAACAAATACTGGAAGGAGTTTCCCTTTAATGTCCAGTGGGATCCAGTTAGCAGAGCCATCTCCCCTTGTAAAAGTTTCTTACGATAAAGGTGGCTGAACTTTTTAACTGTGAAACACATAATAGTGACTTGTTTCATCGGAAGTCTTAAAGAGGATCATTAACCTGCAAAATTACCAGGTTTTTAAACTGCTCATTTAATTTAATGACTGCATAATTTTGCATCAAGGAACTTAAAAGACTGAGCTGTACTTGCACTGATATTTGACACAGAGTGCTCCTTATTAAAAGGAAATTGCCCACTGGGCCACAGAATAATATTTTAAACACTCCCTGGAAGGCTTGGCTCATCTGAGCAACTATTATGGATTCAACCAAATTATCTGACTTTGTCACCGATGGCTACGTCCACTGTACAATAGTGAAGAAGATGGCAAACTAAGCTCGGCTCATTAAGCTACCAGCTGGGATATTAGTAACATACTGTTTCACTCAAACTAAGGCTAAACAATCATGTTAACTTTCAAAAATAGAACATTTTCCTCAAAATAACATCATTTAAAGGACATACATGCCCAAAAAGCACCAGAAATTGAATTATTTTAGAACATCATCGGTTAAAACAGATTTTAAAAAAGGGCAAATCAGTGACTCAACATAGTTCTGCGGAGTTTATTCTCAAATATGCTCATCTAAGTGCTTGCTTTCAAAGAGAAACATGTTTTTCTGAAGGTAAAGGTTTTTTTTTAACCGATATCAGAATCCCAACCTGCTGTAGGCAGAGCCTATGGCTATGGGATAGTGACACATGAGCACATGTGGGCCAGGAGAAGACAGAGCGACTGGTAAGTGTATTTCACAAAGTCCTGTTGTGATTTAATGTATTAATGTTAAAAAAAAACAATATATATATATATATATATATATATATATATATATATATATATATATATATATATATATATATATATAGTTGCAGAACTAACATAAACACATGCTAATATGCAGCTTCATGAAATATTTACACTTTATTCAGATTTTTCTGTGACAAATCCATCATTAACAATCATTTAGGGATTCAAGTAAATAGACATGTGCTTATGACAGGTTTTAACACAGATAGTGGTGCTAAATGATATACTGAATGTTTCATGGTAATATTGCTAAGGATGCATCACAGCCAACAATAAACAAACACATGTAATGTTCAGTAGATATAGAGTACATTAAATGTGAATACACTTTTTTCCCCCCCCATATTAATGGAAACTATAACAATAATGAACCCCTCTGCCTAACTACAGGATAACATACCACAAGAACGATCACTACGCTGAATTATTTACTCAAATAAAAATATATACAGGTCTAAATAATCGTGTGACAAGTTAAGGGGTTAGAATGCACCCGTTTTACTTACTGAAATAAATAAAAAAAACTACTTACAGGAACTTATACAGAAACATTACTGCCAACCAGGGCTTCACATTAAAATAAATAACACACAGTTCTCTCAGGTTTTTAAAAGTAAAAAACAAACCCAGAAACTTTACATTCAGATATCAGGTCTACAGGTAAAGAAGAAGGAAAGCAGGATGTGAGTGTGAAAAAAACAGATAGCTCACAGATTCTACACTAAACACTTCCTACCTGCACTGTGCACTGATAACACTTTCATCCAGGCAAGGGAAGCTGAAGGTAATGGTCGTTTGATGAAGTATTATCTTTTGCTTGACATAATGGCTTTTCTCTGTGTTTAAATTGTAATCCATAATAATAACAGCAGTCTGCCAGGATAAAGGGATTAAGGCTTCATTATCACTGACATGAAGTTGTGGTTTCTGGGATCAGTGTTCTATCTACCTTAATCACCATAAGCCTCTGGGAACAGACCTCACTTCTGCCTCCCCACTGTCAAATGATAATCAGCGCATTTGAATGAAATCAATTCTGACCAATTACAAACAACAGTTCAAGCCTAAGAGCTGAATGTATCAAAGAAATAAGGTAGAAATTAATAGAGTGAATGAGTGTGGCTTCAATATTGCACTAAAATCCAAACTAGTTTCTTGGAGCTACACTTAAAGTAAAAACTAAAGGATAAAATGTCAGAGTTTAAACTCTAAATAAATTAGTACAAAATGTCAGTCAGTAAAATGTTGGAATGTGAGTTAAAGTCGTACATGACTTCCATTTGTGCAAGCAGGAGTTTAGTCAGAGCAACTCATGGATTAAATAATGAATGCTTTGTTACATAAACATCAGTGTTTATTTGATGAGTTTATTCAGACCATGTATGTTTATTTCATGGCCATTTGAGGTTGCTTTATGCATTTTTTAACACATGGATGCTCTTCTCACTAGAAAAACAGACCCAACTGAAAATATATTGTTTATTAAAAAGTGGCTAAAACACATTAAACCTTCAATCTTAAAATAATCTTTTGGTGTGGGGTGTACTGACTATAGCTTTCGCATACCTACATCACCCTACGTCCCCCTACATCATCAATATGTAGCCTACAAAAGAACATTTAATAAATTTGAACTAAAAATAATGAGAATAAAACCTGGTTAGTCCATTAGATGAACTACCATATTATAAATTATATTTAGAGATCAGTAGAAATTCACTTTCTTTTCTTTTTATAGCAAACATAGGATTGGGGATAATTACAGAACATATATTATTTATTTTCTAATTTTACTGGAAATGAGCCATTTGAGTCAAATATAAGGAGGAGCCAAAGATAATTAGAAATTAACATAAAAAATTCAACAAAGAAATAAAGAAAAAAAAAATTTCCTTATAAGGAAAAGCTACTGATGCATAAAAAAATGGGAAAAAATGGTTCAAACTGAATCTAATTTTGCTTTTCCTTTCAAATAAAGGTCTAGTATTTCAGATTTTAAGCTCAGATGATACCTTGATATGAAGAACTTGAATTAATCTCACATTTTTCTTAAATTCTAAACAATGAAGGAAAAAAAACAGGATTAGCAATAAAGTTACACAAAACAGACAAAAATAAGAAAGAAAAGACATTCTGACCATTTAAAATAGCCAAAAAGAAATGGAAGAAAATGTGCAAAATGCTGTTAGAATAAAATCACATGAGCTGAACTTTGCATTGAAATAATGTGTAAAACTAAAAAGAAAAAAAATATTTTATTATGATCAAAATAAGACCTACAACAGATAAAAATTTTTAAAATAGTGGGGTAAAATTTTAGATCAAATTAGTGTGGATGTTGGTTCTAAATGTAGTTTCATTTCTATATAACTAAAATCTATATAATTTGAAACATGCATCAATTTTTTTCACCAAAATGATGATTAATAGGAGACGTGAGCTCTTAGATTTTTGATGCCAGTTTTGAATGTCCTTAAAATCATCTTCAAAATTAAGAGGCAGTTATGCAACATTCTTCAGCAGCAACTGGGAGACGTTTCCATAGTTACTCCTGAACAGAAACCAATATTGTACACCTATCATCCACTGTTTTAGGATGCCTCAAACGTCCTTAGTGTGGGCATGTTAGTGTTCAACAAAACGCCTCACAACTTCTATTAGTGAATAACTGCGTAAAAGTGGACAAGTCTACTGCTCTGTCTCAAACTGTGCTAATACAGCGCTACAGGCCTGAAACAGAAAGAGAAGAACTAAACAAGCCTGCTTGCCTGCCTCCTTCATAATCTCTGGAGCCATGAGAGGAAGAATAGCATTATACTTAAAACTGCCTTCATTTTAATCAGCATCCTTCTCAATCTGCTACTAGTCGCCACCGTTGGATCATCTTAATAACAAAACAACCCGGTGGATAGTCTGTTGCTTTAAATAAAGAAATAAAAATCCGTTATCCATTGAGCAGCTCATTAAGCAGATTAAACTCATACTTCTTTCTCCACTGAAAGTCCCTCAGGGTTCATTTTCCTCCTGCTCATCAGAAAAGACAGGAATAGTTTAGTGCTATTTAATGTCCCTGAAGACTGCGGTTAATAACAGCTGCCCCTGGTACTCTGGGCCCTCTAAAGTAGCCACAAACATGACTGTAAAAACAAAACGAACACAATCCGGTGGAATCCAGCTTCCTGAATCATTCAAGTGAAGAAACGCGGTTTATATCCAGTCAACATTCTTTTTAAGAATCCAGCCAGATATCAAAGACAACTCAGACACTTCTATGAAGAAAAAGGGGAAACCTCCAAGTTCACAAGTAGTCAGTGCAAGTGCTTCTCTCCCGGATCTTATTTGTGGATTTTCCAGTTCCGCAGCAGGTGAAGCTTCAAGGCTCGGAGGGTCAGAGAGCAGTTGGGAAGGTGGAAAGGTTGGAGATCTCCATTAAAGGAGGAGGCGGAGGGGGAAGAGGAGCCCTGGATCAACCTTCCGGTCTCAACCCTGCCGTCAGTCACCCAAGCCTTCAGTTCTGCAGCTGCAGAGAGATACCCTGCAGCAGACATAGCATGGATCGTATTTGTTAGCACAGAAAAAAGGAAGCATGATATGAAACAAAAAAAAAAGG